TTCAATTATCTTTTCATCTGTGCTATAGTAATATGAAAATTTCACACACAGATTGACAGTTTCCCCTCTCCCTGAAATAAAAAAGAATAAGGCAAAATGTGACATCTCAAAAATGAGAAAAATGCCAGGCATTTTGAGTGAACTCATTTTTTCCTGCCCTAAGGAAAAAAAAAGTGGTCTGTGCGTCTCCACATAATGCATTTTACTGTAGCAACAGGAATGTGGAGTATGGGTGAGGGGGCTGTGGCTGTGGGGCCGAACCATCCATGCCCACTCTGTTCCCTGGAGAAAGCACTCCTCCACAGACTGCAGGGGTTGGGAAGAGAGAGGACACATTTCCTCACGCTTGCCAGTGCAGTTGGGACCAAGCCGAGCATCATTTCATGTGCAGTCCGTTAAAGTGACCATTCAAGGACTCGGGGTCAAGAAAACATAGCCAGATCTTCGACTCAGGCCTGTTTAGCAGGGAAGGCTGGGTGGAGACGGCCAGTTCTTCGTGAGCTTTGAATTCGGTTCCACTTAAACTTTTCCAGCTCACTTGGGAGAACGGGGGTGACTTGGCCTGAAAGGATCTTAAACATTCCACCTACGAAAAAGGGAGGGCAAAGTCTTGTGTTGTTTGTGGATTCAAAACAGTTTTCTAATAAAATCTGTTGTCGTTCGTTATTTTTGAAACACCATTATAGAATTTGGCTTCTAGAACTATTTAACTGTGTCTGACACAAATATTATTTTAAACATAGATAGTCAGTTCACTTGTGATCTAATAAGAGCTCTTTGTCTGCTTGGGGTCATTATGTCTAAACCAAAATCCTTCCCACCGTGACCTTTAACAACTTTACAAAGGAAACACAGCCGATTATTAAGGGAATAAAAGAGTTCTTTTATGCACATATTATACTTTATAATTTTTGAAAGCGTCTTGTTTGTGATCTCATGTCAGTATTTTAAACACCAAGTTCCTAGAACGATTCTGCTGGTCAGTGGGAGAGTCTTGTTTAGAATCCATTGTTCCCCCCGCTGTATCCTGCTTGCTGGTTGTCAGATTCTGCTCCTGACCAGGTTAACTCAAGAGAGGAACAACAAACCACCGTCCTGCCTGGGAACCTGGCAATGTAGGGGTAAACAACATTTTCGTTAGAAGTGCCAATATTTAGAAACCTGTGAGTTAATCAGTGAAGGCGGTACTTCACTGCCTTTATTCTGTATTCTTCATTCTTAATTGTTCCCAAAATGGAAGATTCTTTCAGATTAGATGCTAACAACCTGTGCGGGTCATACACACCAAGTTTTGGTTTATAAATACATCAAAAATAACTTTCTTTTCTTTTCTTTTCTTTTTTTAATGAGAGACTGGGGAAAATCCAAACAAAACAGAATATTAAAAAAGATAATAATAAATGGAGGACCTGATTGGGGACACATGGGCACACATAGCCCTTCCCAGACAGCATGGCCTTCCAGGAGGAGAGGGTATTCTCAAGGAGCCTGACCACCAGAACACACTTTTTACTACTTGAGATAATTTGGTATCTTCCCTCATATATTTTTTCCAAGATTTTCTTTTTGAAAACTGGTTGGACTTGTCCCTCCGCTCTGACACGTGTCAGCATCTGAATTATCACATCCCCTGCCATCTTTCTTATTCTCCATCAAGTCTGTGATGGGCCTTCAGGACGGTTATTGACCTGCAGCCCTCTTTTCACTTTGTCTTTCTTTGGGGAGATGCAGATAAATGCCACATGTGGTATCTTGATTGTTTCTCTTCCTATAATCAATGAGAGACCCTTGCTTTTCTTTAGCGCATCTGTAGGACTCAGCCATGAGACCACCTCTTTCAACGGGAATGATTCTCTTCCAATAACTCACCCTTACCCCCAAGTTCACGGTGACGTGACGGTCTCTAGCGTATTTCTACCTGCATCAGTCTCCTGCTTAGGAAAAACAACAAAATGTTTCTCTTACATTTTGACCCAATTCTTAAAAGAGGTCTAAAAGCAGCAACAGAAACAAACTCCCACCCCCAAAAGTCTTTGCGCCATTTGTCATTTTCTCATTCATTATTACAGCATAGCTGCTGTGTCTGTTCTGTCCGCTCTGGCCATCCAGAGCGCTCTGAGCCCTGTGTTCCCCGAGACATCTCTCTGGAGCCCCCTCACTTATGTGATTAGGGCTGATGTTTCCACCACAGCCGTGATCCTGTCTGTGTGCCCCTCTGCTTCCGGCGGCTGCACGCTCTCCTCTGCGTTCTAAGAACCGGAGCTCTCAGAGCCTGGGAATGAGACCGATGTGCCTTTTTGAAGTCTGGTCTTGTTTTTTCTCTTTAGAACTCTTCTTCCCTTTCCCCAGCTATAAAAACAAAGCAGAGCAGAACAGAGCAAGCCTCCCCATCTGGTGCATCTTTCTCAGTTCAGTCCAGTCACTCAGTCGCGTCCAACTCTTTGCCACCCCGTGAACCACAGCACGCCAGGCCTCCGTGTCCATCACCAACTCCTGGAGTTTGCTCAAACTCATGCCCATTGAGTTGGTGATGCCATCCAACCATCTCATCCTTTGTTATGCAGTTTATTTTTAATGTATTTATTTATTTTAATTGGAGGATAATTACTTTATAATATTGTGATGATTTCTGCCATGCATCAGTATGAATCAGCAGTAGGCATACATGTGTCCCCTCCCTCCTGAAGCCTGCTCCCACCTCCCTCCCCATCCTCTCCTCCTCCAGGCTGTCACAGAGCACTGGCTTTTGCCTTCTGTTTACACTCATTTCTGAATTCATCTAATAGTTAACCTCCATCTTTTAGTCTGACCATTTTTTCCTCAAAGTACTTCAGATTAGCAACCAATGCTAATTTGTTACTATTATTGTTAATAGTGATATTAGGTTGGAGTAGGAAACGGCAACCCACGCCAGTATTGTTCCCTGGAAAAGTCCACGGACAGAGGAGCTTGGCAGGCTACAGTCCATGGGGTCGCAAAGAATTGACACAGCTGAGCAGCTGACCAGAAACAAGGACCCGCCTTAATCCAGGTTGATCTCGTCTCAAAATCCACAATCACCCTGGAGAAGGAAATGGCAACCCACTCCAGTACTCATGCCTGGAAAATCCCATGGAAGGAAAAGCCTGGTAGGCTGCAGGCCATGGGGTCACAAAAGAGTCGGACACGACTGAGCGACTTCGCTTTCACTTTCAGTAATATTAGGTAAATTAAGTGTTTTAGCTCATCTTACATCCACAGCTAGGCCAGGCTGCAGGCTGAGTTACGGCAAATCAATGTTTTGTGGAGACTGAGGTTCTGTTTCATTGAAGAGAGCATCTCTGCGCCAATCAATCCAGATCCTCCTGACTGGGGAAACGTGTGAGTCAAACCAGCGTGTCAGCGTGCAGCATCTTCTGGGTCCAGGTGTTCGGTCAGTCCCCACGTCCTGTTCATTTGCTGGAGCCTGGCTTTGCCCTCTCAAACCTCGCCCTGTGGTCCAGGCCCAGGATGAGGAGGGACTGAATTATGGCCCTGGTTTCCTTACCTGTCTGCAGTCTCCTGCCTTCACTTGCATCCACATGGCTTCCTGGTTGGTCCTTCAGTAACAAACATCAGATCCAGTCTAAATCACATGCAGTGAAAATACAAACTGGCCCCTTCACGTTCCAAATAAAAAGTACACTCACACTCACTGGTCAGACACACCTGGTCCCTGTCTGGCATCCCAGCTTATGCGGTGCCTCCTCTGTTCCCAGTGAAAGCACCATGCTTTCTCCAGCACAGTCCATTCTTCATTTTGAAAATGTCTTTTCCCTCCTTCTCTCTCAAAAATCCTGCAAGTGCCAAGTGGCACCAAATCCTACTCTTCCTTTGAAACTGACCTTAGGGGTCACCTCCTCCAGGAAGCCTTCCTATACCTCCTCCCTTCCTTTCCCCTGCCTTCTAGAATTAGCAATATGCCGTTCTCCTATGCTTCCTTAATACAGTGTGTAGACAACTCCATGTATGTTAATTTTGTGCCAAGGGCCTCGATGCAGGCTTCCCTGTGGCTCAGATGGTAAAGAGTCTGCCTGCAGTGCAGGAGACCTGGGTTTGATCCCTGGGTAGGGAAGATACCTTGAAGAAGGGAATAGCAACTCACTCCAGTATTCTTGCCTGGGGAAGTCCATAGAGCGAGGAGCCTGGTGGACTACAATACCTGGGGTGACAAAGAGTTGGGCGTGACTGACCACATTCCACACACAAGAGCCTAGCTTGTGCCCTCTTCCACAGTCTCTACCATCGAGTGTCTAGCCAGTAAATTCTTGCTGGGTAAATGAGAAGCTTCGTAGCTGAACGTTCCTGGACTACACTGGCCATGCCCCAGATGCATATGTATGTTTTGCAACCATAAAAAATATTCACTCCTTTAGCATGGGCTTTCATCCCGCATTGTTTACTTGTTATAGCTGTATTTTACTTTTTCACCAAAAAATCAAAATTGTTTATAGAATCTTCCTGTACACAAAGCAGTTTAAGAACTTAATCTAAAACTTGCTTTGGTTGTAATGAGAGCTTCACTTGTGACCCTTGTATTTGGAAAAGCATTCACCATGGTTTTTGAAGCTCCTGGGCAAGTTTCCTAAACTGCTGTTTCATGAGCCGCTCTAATAGTTTCCTTTATTTATTTTCCTACCATACGTCAAAGGCAATTTAGAGTCTGCACTGTTATCAGACACAACACAAAATGAGACCACATTCATCAAAAGAAGACCCATGCTTTGAGATTTAAAACTGAACGTGTATTAATCTTCACAAATATCCTCTGTTGAGCAAGTGTGCAGACGAAGGTAAACTATTTAAGATTTCTGTTGTTATTTTTTGGTCAGTATCTGAGAGGAGGTTGGTTGTTGGATTTGTAGTGGTCAATTAACTTCTAATTTATTGAACAGACAAGACATCTTCGTGTTCACCTTCCTCTTGAGCTCAGGTCTCTTAATCCTTTTTCGTGTGTTTTATTTTTTGTTTTTGTTTTCCAGGAGGAATGTCAGAACTATATTCGGGTACTGTTGGTGGGTGGGGACCGGCTGTTCACGTGTGGGACCAACGCTTTCACACCTGTCTGCACCAACCGCACGGTATGGCTTCATGTGGAGTTTTGATAGATTTTAATGCCAGGAAAACCCAAACAGCCTATTAAAACACCACTTTTAAAATGTGTTCCTATTCTCCAAGGAGTTGCATTTTAATTCAAAGCATGTTTTGTCAAACTGAATAAAGACTTGATGTATTTTTTTATTACACATGTTATATAATAAACTTGTTTAATTAAATTTAAATATTCTTGCAAGCTATTTCTATCAGCTTTTTTCTCAACAGTGACCCTAAAGATAATCCTAAACATATTCTTTTTTCTTCTCCTGCTTCATTGCAGAGATAGTGTTAAGTATTAAAATGACCTAAAATCACAATCCAAACCAAGAAAATGCGATTTAGAAATTGAACAAGAAGTGTGTTGAAAAATTAAAGCAAACTAACAAACAAATGGAATCCAAGGAAAAATAAAGTTATTACCCGCCCTCTTTCTTTTTCTTTTAAACTGTCATTATGAACAGGGGACTTTTCTATATCCAGGTCTCATTCCTGTAGAACTGCAGTGTTCTCAAAGCACATGGGTAATCTTCCTAATTTAGGATATTCATTTGCTCTTCCTCAGGGAATAAGAAATGATGAAGAAATATCATTAATTTCCTGGTTACACAATTTCTCTCAAAGGCTGAATTAATCTTCCTTTATTACTATTCTTTATTTTCAAGTTAACATTCAGTTACTGGAAATAAAGAGAGGATGATGATGATGATAAGAAGCGATGCTCACAGAGACAGCCCTAGGTATCGTGACCTGTCCTGTGCACCTTACAACAACCCTGTCACTTCACACTCACATCCACCCGGCCTGGTGGTTATCCTTTGGGTCATCGTTTTGTAAAAGAAAAATCTAAGGCTTAAAGACTTTAAGTAGCTTACCTGGGTCTACATGTGTAATAACGGCTTCCCTGGTAGCTCAGATGGCAGAGAATCTGCCTGCAGTGGGGGAGACCCAGGTTCCATCCCTGGGTTGGGAAGATCTGCTGGAGAAGGAAATGGCAACCCACTCCAGTATTCTTTCTTGGAGAATCCCATGGACAGAGGAGCCTGGCGGGCTACAGTCCGTGGGTCACAAAGAGTTAAATATGACTGAGCGACTAAGCACACACGTGTCATAAGGCAGGCAGGGTATCTGAGCCGCTGCCTGACCCCTCTGCTCTGACCCCTCTGACCTCTCAGGTAAGAGAAGAGAAAAACTGAGTGAAGATCCCCTCCTCCAACCACTCAGAGAACCTTTCTCATTCAGTGGTGGTTCAGCTTCTCAAATGCAGGAGTCCTACTGCTGGACTGTGAGACACTAATTTGCATCTTGGAACACTAAAATCTAAAGCCTTGGAAATTTGAGCAAATAGTGCCAAATGTCCACACATCCTTACCCATGAACACAGTTTGGGCTAGTCACACAACTTTAATCCACTTTTATTGATAAACCTGTAGCTAACTTCTCTTGCAGTTTGTACTTCTATAAACATTGACATTGAGTTTTGTGATGTAAGTGGGCAAATCTGCATTGCCCCATGTGTTATGAATAGAAGTCATAAACGATAGTCTTACTCCGTCTTTGGTGAGTATCCAACAGCCTGGGGTTCAGTAACTCTCATGGAATGATGAGAGATTGATTGCCAGATTCTCTGACAGTCACCGCAGGATATTATTCTCATTGAAGTCAGAGTGTGGATGTCTGGCCCATGCTCTCAGCCCCAGAGAGTTCATTGTACATGCTTCATTTGCAAGTTGGGCGGATCTGATCCATTAACACTATTAAAGGGGTTTCATGGGGGATCGCTGACTTTTCTCTCTTGTCCTCACTCCTAGTTGAGTAACCTGACGGAGATCCATGATCAGATCAGCGGCATGGCTCGCTGCCCCTACAGCCCCCAGCACAACTCCACAGCCCTGCTCACTGCCGGAGGGGAGCTGTACGCCGCCACGGCCATGGATTTCCCGGGGCGCGATCCTGCCATTTACCGAAGCCTGGGCATCTTGCCCCCGCTCCGCACCGCACAATACAACTCCAAGTGGCTCAACGGTGAGTCTTACCCTCCCACCCAGCTTCCCATCTCGCTGGTCTGTGATGCCCTTGATGTCCTTGGTGCTCAGAAGCAAGCTGTCACAATTTTCAAAATAAAATGATTTCCTCCTTTTCTAAAGGAATCAAAATGTAACTTGTTTTGTTCTTCGATGTAGAAAGGCATCCGTTGGCTCATTTCCAATTAGGGACAAAAAGGATTCTCTCAACACTGTAGGACATGGTAACATAGGGCTAATGCTGATACAAGGGTTCATCAAGCTTAAGCTGCTTTCTTATATTATTGTTTGAAGTTCAGGAAGTCTGATGTCACGCCACTGTCTGTAGAGTCATGTGCATTCTTTCTTGACTTCTTTACTGTATACCTAAAAGGCGAAGTTTCTAGCATTGCATGAAATTTTCAGATGACTGTGTAAAAAAATGTGTTTGGCTATAGGGAGCCCCAAAAAGCTTGACAATTTTTTAATTTAATTTTTTATTTTATATTGGAGTGTAGTTGATTTACAATGTTGTGTTAGCTTCAGGTATAGAACAAAGTAATTCAGTTACACATACACATATATCCTTTTTTTTTTTTTTTCAGATTCTTTGCCCATATAGGTTATTACCGGGTACTGACTCGTTGAGTATCTAGTTTACAGGTGTGTGTGTGTGCGTGTGTGTTCAGTTGCTCAGTTGTGTTTGACTCCTTGCTACCCCATGGACTGTAGCCCTCCAGGCTTCTCTGTCCATAGGATTTCCCAGGAAAGAATCCTGGAGTGGGTAGCTATTTCCTTCTCCAGGGGGGTCTTCCCATCCCAGGGATTGAACCCTGGTCTCCTGCACTGTAGGCAGATTCTGGAATGAGTGGCCCTTTCCTCCTTCAGGGGATTTTATAGATCGTGGTGTCTGTATGTTAATCCCAAACTCCCGATTTATCCCCCCTCCCACCTTTCCCCTTTGGTAATCATAAATTTGTTTTCGAAGTCTGCGAGTCTGTTTCTGTTTTGTGAATAAGTTCATTTATATCATCTTTTTTTTTTTTTTTTAGATTCCACAGGTAAGTTGACCAAAAATTTTTTTGAAGGTATCAAGTCTTATACGTAGGAGGTCAGGGTAGGTGTCACTGGAGTTGCTCACTTCAGTGGCTCAGGAATTAATAAGCCCCCAAGTCCTGCCACTACTGTCTCTGCCACCCACAGTCTGTCAGATCGGTCCTCAGGCTGGCTCTGCTTATGGGTGCAAATTCACAGCTACAGTTCCAGCTACTGCCCTCAGATAGGACGATATCCAGGGGAGAACCACATCCCTTGTGTCCTTTTTTAAAGACATCAGAAACTGCCAGAAGATTTCCTTCAGTCCTGGCCTAGAACTTGGTTACTTGCTCACTAAATGAGGGGAAAGAGATTCCAGCCTCCCAAATTGAAGTTAAAGTTAGCTATGTACTGAGACTGAGATGTGCCGGCTGAAATCCAACCCTCGTATATGTGCACATTCATGGGTGAATATGATGATACACACATGCGTGCACACACACACACACTAGCAAGCACAATGTTGTGGACAAACATATGCACCGTATGTAATCCATTCCCTCAAGCCTTTGTTTGGTGGTTTGCATAAAGATGAGCTCTTATAATTGTCCTTATAATATTTACTGTTCTGAGCTTTCAAGTCCTACAAAGTTGTGCTGGCTTTCACCAAGTAAAAGCTCATTATGTAGATCAGAGTTTCTAGACCTCAGCACTATTGGCGTTCAGGGCCAGATGATTCTTTGTTGGGGAAGGGGGGTTGTGCTGGTTATTGTAGGATGGTCAGCTACATCCCTGGCTTAACCCCTTAGATGTATTAGCATGCCTCCCCCCTGCCTCGTGACAACAGAACATTTGTTCAGAAACTTGAAAATATTCCTTGGGAAAAATATTGCCTCTCATTGAGAAATTTTGGTTGAGAACGATCACTTATGCATATTTAAGTGTATGGGGTTTCCCCAGTGGTTCAGTGGGTAAAGAATCCGCCTGCAATGCAGGAGATTGGGGTTCAGTCCCTGGGTCAGGAAGACCCCTGAAGAAGGAAATGGCAACCCACTCCAGTATTCTTGCCTGGAGAATCCATGGACAGAGGAGCCTGGCGGGCTACAGTCCAAAGGGTTGCAAAGAGTTGGACATGACTGACAGACTAAGCATAGCACAGGAACATATATAACACGAGCATTTTGTAAAATAATATAGTCAAACCAGCCACCACAGTTTGCCTTTAAAATACTTCCTATTAGAGAAAAGCGTATCCTTACCCAGTTTCTTCAGCAAGTTGAATGACTCTACGTGTTTCCAAAGGGCAGCGTGAATTGTTTTCCCAAACTGAAGCAGTTTCTAGCTTCCCTGTATTAACACTATTTCTGTTGAACTGGTTTCAGCTGAACCTTTTGACTCTACAGAAGGTCTTCTTTCTGCTCTGACACATTCATCTGTGTAGCTTAAAGTTCTTTCTTTTCATTTGTTGATTTTTCCCATCCAAGTAAAATTCCAGTTAAAAATCAAAATGAGTTCTTCCGCAACCACAAACGTTGCATTTAGACTTTGCTGAAAGCAAAGTAAAAAGTAATTAGGAGCACAGTGTCTTTGTTTTCCCAGAAGTGACACCCTAAAGAATATCTTGGAAAAATCATTCAAATTGTAGCATGAGTTATAAGCACTGTTTGTTTCTATGTATTTCCAGGTGGATATGGTACTCAGATTCTGTTAACCCTCTGGGTGGAATCTCTTCCATCTGAGAGTCAGGTGAGGGCCTAAGTAAGGACTGTCACTGTAGGCATGTGTGTCCTAAATCATATATGATGCTATCCAACTGTGGACATTGCAAATAAGACCAAGGAAATACAGTGAAGCCACCACCTGGCTCCCAGTGTCATCACAACGCCCATGGCACTGAATGGCCTGCCTTCCTCAGAGAGCGGTGCCCTGCCGCACCAGGAGGCCCCCACTCTCGGGCAGAGAGCCCCGAGGGTCCCGCGTTCTTGTGTGTTCCGTGTTCGTCCCCTCTCTGTGTTCTCTCGGGGGCACTTTCTCTGTTCAACCCTGAGATGTCCTTTCCCCGTCTCGTTGGCCCTGGTCATCTGCTCCGATCTCTCCTCCATCCAGCATGGATTCTGGTCTCTGACCCCCCACTCAGCTCTGCTTCTGTTCCCCCGCGGAGCCTGGACGCAGGGACGTTTATTCTCACTGACCTAACTGGAGGCCGCACTTGGCATCTGCTTGCGCTTAGACGTGACGCTCTGTCCCTTTTTCTTTCTGCCAAGCTCTGGAGTAATTTTCTTCCTTTATTAGAAGTTGTTGCTTTATCTGTTGTCCCTTCTTTTTTGCCATATCCTTAAATTTCTCACACTCTGGTGATAACCACCATCTTCTTAATAAAACTGCTCATCTCCTCCTCCGTCAGTGAGACAAAAACAAAGAAACCCACTGAAACTAAAAGCTCCCTTCGTTCTGCGTGTCCAGGAAGACGCCTGTTCCCGTGTGATATTGCTTGTGTGTGTGCTCAGTCACTTCAGCTGTGTTTGCAGCCCTATTGTGTGATATTAGGGACCCCTTAAATGCTGCTCTTATGTTCTTCTAAGTTTTCAACTGATGGAGGATCAAGGCACAGGAATTAATCAATGACAGTCAGAGAGATGGATTTGTTTGTGATAGAGCTGCGCCAATGTACTGGAAACTCAGAGCTGGTACCTTAAGAAGACGCAGACTATGAGCTGCTGAATGAAGAGGCGCAGCCTTCCATGTGGGGTCGGCAGGAAGCTTCCTCAGCATTGAGCTCCCATCTGGGGAGGTAAAAACCTGGGGTTTTGATTGAAGATGCAGTTTCCAGAACCCGGGCACCAGGAGCTGGGAGAAGGCAGCCCTCCACCCCAGGTCACCAGCAGGAGACAGAAAGCAGGGTAACACGTGCATGTGAACTTACAAGGTCCTTTGGGCAGAGGTCATTACCTTGGGCTCAGTGATCATTTTAAAAGGTAAGCGATGGAGGCTTTGGAGGTGGAAAGACCTGCCGGTGAATCAGTGCTCACCCCTCAGGGAGCTGAATCGTCTCAGTTCTCGATTTCCTCATCTGCAAACTGGAGATAACTAGTCACTGGACCTGGAAGTTCTGAGAATAAAATGAGACCATATAGAGATAATAAATATTAGTAGCAAATAGCTGATTATAAATAGATGTAATGACTGTGAACCCCCTGATTCCTGATACAATATCTGACTTCAGTGCCAGAGAGTAAACACTTGTTGGCCGAGTGCACCTGGGGCTGTGGTTCCTGATTACTGACACCTACCGGCCTCCTGCTTCCTGTCTCTGCTAACACTGACCGTCTGCCTCTGAGCTTTCCCCACCCCACTCTGGGCTGGCCTCTCTTGGCCATCTTACCTTGCTGAGGCCACATCCAGGTCCCCCAGGTACATTCCTGTCACTGCCCCATCCGTGGTACCCCCAGGTGTCAACAAGACCCAAGGTCCCCCAGAGCCCATCACTCAGCCAACAGCTGCTCACACATGATAAGCAGAGCTCCTGTCTTTGTTTTGGACATTTTCCCTTTTTTTTTCCCCCCAACATTTCTCTGTTGAGGAAGGAGAATTCTATCAGCAGGGGAGGTGTGGAGGATGGTACCTCTGAACCATGGTCAGCAGAATTTTTTATTTCAGATCCACTGTTGTGATTAAATTCTGTGTAGGATAAATTGCCTGTCCACAGAGGGAATATCTTTCCATGATTGGATTAATTAACTCATAGAGGGAACATTCATAGTGTGACCAGTTCAGCGGTCACATACATTTTTCGTTTGCCTCTGCCAGTCCCGTGCCAGGCATCTTCCTTCTCAGCCTCCAGCCAGGCAACAGCCCAGTACCAACCAACTCCATCTCCTCAGGCCACACCTTCAGTGGCAGTTTGGACAGTGGTGGTGTTCATTTCATTTGTTTCCTAGCATTGCCGGAACAAAGTACCACAAACTGGGTAGCTTAAAACAGAAATGT